TATTGCTCCATGTCGATACTCATTATAAAAGTTAGCAAGTCATTCAACAACATTCGGTTTCACATCTTATATGAAGCAAAACGTATTTCCACTCCCGTCATACTGATGATCAGTTCTAAGGGTGTCCCAAAAAGATGTACCAAGACAAACATAAAACTCGGTGAGTGATAAAGGGATACATTTTGATATTAGGTCATCCGACAGAGGATTTTGATATCATAAATATCTGATAGTTCCCCCAGGTACCTTAATTTAGACATAGAGAAAAACGTCAGTACCAACACCTATGCTAGTGTTCCAATGTTGTACCGAGACAAACGTGAAATTACTCTAAGTGATGAATATTTTTGAAAGGATAGGTATCGATGTGGAGAACTGAATTCAGCAATGTTTTTCTCTTAAACCAATCATTGAAAACATTCAGTAAAAACACGGTATTTTATGTAATGTTGACTGATTGACAACAATTTAATGCGAAAATTATTGAGAAACATTTTATATAACTGTTTTTGTTAAATAACATTAATTTTAATAATAATAATTTAACATTTCATTTAGCATAACAGTATACAATACAGACTTCCAGACTTTATTTTAAATAACAACTTTTTGCTTTGATTCTAATTAACACATTTCTTCAACGTTGCTCCTCCTCTAGGCTGTAATACTGTTTTGAATCTGAAAACATTTTTTTTATATCATTTTCAATATTATATTGTCTGTGCAAAATGTTTCTTAAAATAATGTCTGTTTTGTGTGTTTAACCACAGCCTTTTCTAATTTTTCGGCTACATCACTTAAACAGGATGAGGCAGACGAGGCTTTTCAACAACCTTTGAGAAATGTTCCTCTGTCAATGAAGTTGTAAATTAATTGTATAACTTTGTCGATTTTGGAATCTTAATGATAGGAATGTTTCTCGTCGCTTTTTTAACTGATTTGGAAATATTTTTCTCCTCGTCGCTTTTTTTTCCTGGCTACGCTACTGGTACTATGTAATGAGTAGCTATGTAAATCATCAATTTTAAGATTGTACCTGTTGGGGGATGGCAGATTCCCGGGTGTGCGAATTTTGCACCATAAACACTCAGTAGCAATATAGAACATATCAATATACGTACTAGCCTATATTGGTTGGATTTCAATTTCAGAAATATGCCTAATTTTTAGAAAAATATGCAAAGTGTCAGTATTATCATGTATTGTTATTGTATATATATTTTCTGAATATGTGAAAAAAAAGAAAAGAAGTTAATTTTGATCCAATACAGTTATTGAAAAAGGCGCAAAAAACGTATACAGCGTTAAAACGTTAAATGCATATTAATTTGTTTTAAAAAGTAGTTGATTTTATGTTACAACAAAATGATTTAGTTTGGCAATTAATTGCGATGTATTCTTTTTCAAGCAACAGAAAATTGTTCCTATAATTATGACAGATAAAATTAGAATAAACTGAAATATTGCAAAACTGAATCACTTTGTTAATTTATTTTAGATATATATTTTTGGATCACACTAAATTTTAGTCCTGCCGCAGTTGTAAATATATTCACTTATCCCAAATAAGTATTTTTATGTACATAGCGTCTATCATCACAGTCATTATTATAATTAGTGGGCGGAGCTTGGGGATGTGAATGGATCACATTCTTTATTTCTTAAAGCAGAGACGCGCACAGCAGAAGAACAATTCAAATATATTTTCTGTTTTAATACAAGTTTATGAACTACTATTATTAAAACCCATTCCCCTCCTCCACCAGTCAGTTGTTTTAGACCCAACTTGCAATGCATAATTATGTATAGCGTCTTGTTGCACTTATGATGTGCAAATAAAACATTATCAGCAACATATAGGCTTTCTTGTGTTATCATCTATAGGCAATTATGTATTATAAAAACGTTTTATCATAATAAATAAAATTAAAGGAAAAACGATCATTCCGACTCTCGAGTGTAGGACGTTTGCGCAGAAACATCTGCATTTGGTGATGGTAGGGGATAAAATAATGTAATGTGCCCGTTTGTGACCATCGATGTGACATCATAACCGTCTTGCTCTAGGTCCCTCTGATATGAATGTACTCTCGAGCTCAAGTAGAGTCTTTGTACAATAATGTATTTTGTAAACACTACTTCACTTCCAGCTGCCATAACCTTTGTGGATGCGATGGAAGTTTGACAACATTACCGACAAACCGGTAGTACACATTACAGTAATAACATCAACATCGGCAACAGCAGAAACCCAAGGTATTAATATGCAAAATGTCACCACCTGCCATTTGTTACAGACGCCGAATGATACATTGGTCCAGATGGCCAGCCATACCACACCAACCACCAAACACCAACCGCTGAACACCAACCGCTGAACACCATCCACAAAAAAAGTTGGAGGCTAGAACAATATGTCACCACTTCTAGTTGTTACACAAAAACTTACAACATTTAAAAATTGATTCTGTATGCAATAAGGTTCCTCATTCTTTTCCTCTTCGATTAAACTGCAAATTGAAATGCTATGGCAACTATATGATTGGAATTATCAAATTATTCTCATTGGGTGGTCAGAATTCATTGGAAAGTCTATAAAGAAATACTACATATAGAATTTAAAACAAACAATCTTTTTCAAATTGTTTTGATTTGTGTATTGTGTATCAATTTATGACAATTTCTCAAATTAACTTCCCAATTTTACATTTACAAACCCTACAAATCATAGAAATAAATTCAAAGCAAAGTTGGAACTTCTTGGATTAACTCTACATGTTTTATAATGCACATTTATAAAGGTCAAGTCCAAGGTTTGTTATATCATGGTATCATCAGAAATATCACCTTAATGTAATATCTAAAATTTTTCACTGTATTTGTTCTTAATTTGGTGGATTTGAAAAATTGAAAGGTGTATTCTTTGTTTACCATAAAATCACCAAATTTAAGGACCCGATATTGCAAAATTGATCCAAAAAACTACAACTACAGGAACCTTAACTGAAATTCCCTTATTCCTGACTGTTTTCACATTCCTCTTCGAACATGGTGAATTTAATAATTCTCCTAGGATAACATGTTCTCTCCCATCACCCTAAGTACAAACATATTTAAATATTCTATTTTGAGACATAGCTTTCATATGGTACATTTCATGTCTGAAAAACTCTGATATGGTATAGACTATAGTACCAGTTAACAGCTTTCACAAGGGAATACAGTGTGTATTTGTATCAACTGCTTTCACATGGTATATAGTATATACAGCAAGCAGCCATATAGCAACAGCTATCATATATGTAAATAGTGTTTTTGTATCAACTGTTTTCTCAATGTATCTAATACACACTCTTAACAGAAGCTTTCATATGCTGAGTGTTTTTATCAACTGCTTTCATATGGTATTTAGTATATACCCTCAACAGTAGCCACATGGCATATTTGTCAACAGCTTTCATATGGGTATATAGAATTGCTTGCATCACCTGTATTCATATGGTATAGAGGATAAACTGCCAACAGAAACCATATTGCATGTCTGTCATTAACTTTCACAAGGGTATATAGTGTTATTGTGTTAACTTTCACATGGTATATAATAATAGCTATATTAGAATGTTTGTTCACCCTTCAATATTTGAACTTGACCAGTTTTGACCCATTCGATTAAATTCTAAACAACCTAGCTTCATAATAGTGTAATAACAAAACTTCTTGTCAAATCTTCAGTTCTTTAAATCTGTACATTTTATGTACAATAACATCTACATTATATCTACATAACAATTACAATACATTTGTACATCTGGTGTACATTTTACATGTATGATATAATTTTAAAATACAATATTTAAACATCTGCACAGAATGTGTTGTACCTTTTGGCAATTGTTGATCTTCCTTCCATTTTTCATATCTTAGTTAGCAAAAAACAAACATGCAGAAATTCTGTACTTCTATTTATTTTGGCACTAATGCAAAATTTGTTTTTGCTGCAATTTTTGGCAAAAAAATTAGAAAATTTCAAAATAAATTCACAGGAAAAATTTGAAGATTGGCACAAAATTAATTTGGTTTGTTTCAAATTAAAGCTGATCCAAATTAAGCAGAAGTACAGTATGTTGATGAATATTGCCTTAATATTTTCTTATGGAGCACCATGTCTTAAAGATTCTTTCTTTGTCTTCATCCGGCAAAAGAACTAGAATTGCAATAACCTCAGACTTATGTTTCTTATTAACTTATTAACTTTTTACTTTAAATCTTCCAAAATTCATACATATAGGCTAAGCACAGCATTGTAAAGCCTGGTTAACTAGAGCAAATATGAATCAGTAGTACTTTGAAAAGTGGCATTTTTGGGCCACCCTATACATTGTCATAAAAATCAGAAGTGAACCTGTGTTGTATTGTTGCATGTTGCTTTGAAAAGATTTTGATTTTTTTTACTTCTGTTCTTCTTGGATACATTTGACCATCACTTCCATATATATCTCACACAAGCATACAATTCTATATGTACAATAGATGGCGAAGAAGTGGTCCATGGTTCCACCATTCCCTGCATTCATGAAAGCATCGACATGCAAATGTCACCACCTGCCCTTTGTTACAGACGCTGAATGCCACCCACCAAACACCATCCATAAGAAAGTTTGAGACTATAAAGTATGTCACCACTTCTGGTTGTGACATAATAATATTCAGAGTTCTTATCCAATTATGTTCTTTCACACCAATTTCTTTTGTAAACATCATTTCAGACGATGATCATCCTCCTAAGCAGGTATCCAGAATCTGTACCTCCTTCTTCCCCCTGCTATAACCAATTTGGAAGCGCCTGATTAAACTGAATCACGTGATCTAATTATGCGCAATGACTTATACATGATTTCTGTGGCAGTGTTGCGACAGCCAATCAGATTGCGAGTTCTTAATCGGGGAAATGCTAACTGCTTATCGCAGGGGGTAAAAAGAAAAAATATATTCTGGATTTTGAAGCCCTGTGATCGGAGGATGACGATGATACACTTATATATGGATATGCTTCGTCCCGTTGCAGTTCATCAATGGGCTCCTTTTAACAATTATGGCAAATAAATATTAGCACATAGTGTCCTTTCACTAAACTAAAAAGATAGCAAAACAGACTGTTCATATTTGCTGCTTTTCAAAAATAATTACTAGTTTTGGTACTAATAATACATAGTAATAACTAGTTGTAGTACTAATTGGTACTCATTACTAGTTTCCATATTAATCTGGTACAGTAATAACTAGTTTCAGTACTAATTTCTAGATTTTATACTTAGTAATACTTAGTTTGGTACTACATGTATTTACTATTCATTACTGGATTTGGTACCAATTTCTAGTAATTACTAGTTTAGGAACTTAAATCTAGTTTATGTACTCATTGATCAACTAATTTTGGTACTAATTAGTGTAGTAATTACTAGTTTTACTAGTATTCACTAGTTTTCATATTAATTCCTAGTATTCTGCTTGTTATCCTTAGTCTTTCTAGTTCATGGCTAGTAATCGTTATTATATAGCTTAGTTAGTGTTGACCTGATCTTTCCTCTGTACTGCAATTAAATTGGCTTGTAAAGCAGAGTTGTGACATATTTCTTCCTGTATCTATGGGTGGCACTAAGGACCATAACACCATCCTATAACACAAATGATCAAGAGTTCAATACATCATACACAATAAGTTATCCATAGCAAGTAAAGGAAAATAATGGGATAGGCTAATCTAATTTTGGCCAAAAGATGCAAAATATTGCGACCTACTGATCATGCTCATAAAAAATTACATTATAAAGTAAAGAGATAATCTAGTGACTTTCAATAACAAATGTGGCATGATATCAGTTTAATAACTGAACTTACCTTGATAGACAGAGCATATAAATGGTTTAACATGACGTGGTTTGGCTCTGGTAAGAGTGTAGGTTCACACTGGAAAAAGAGATTGTAAAAGTGTATTGTATAGATAGAGCTCTTTTAATGGAAATATTAAAAATTAAAGTGAATGTAATCGAAAAGGATTTTTTCTCAGGTAGGTGCAAAATTCTCATTTTCAAAATACAGACCAAAATTGGTCAAAATATGGTAATCTTTCATGATTTTTCTCATTTTCGAGTGGGTGCAAATGGATTTACAGGTGAGTGCAAGGCTATTTTCAAAATCTCAGTTGGGTGCTGCTCCCACTTGCTTGCTTTAATGCTGGGGAGATTACTGCAAAATGACTGTATGTCTAACTAAATATCAAAAATATGATGTTAGAAAAACTCACATGAGCAGGTGTATCCTTATTCAGTATAACTTGCAGTAGATGAGGGGGTAGAATAGGGGGTCCTGTGTGCTTGTGATCCGGTCTTCTCTGAGGTATAATCTGATTGTAGTCCCCAGGGGGCGAGCCAGAGAGAGCTGAAAACATTCAAGATGAACTGTAGGAGGTAATGGTGAAGTATTGAGCTCTGCTAAAATATTCATAACTCAAGCTAGTGTAGTGAATGACCTTTTACAACAGTAGATGAGTGTAGTTTAGTTTAACTACATGTATATTTACTTTATTCCTTGCTGATTCCACTGATTTATTCCATCTTGAGAATTGTAAAAAGCAATTTTGCGCTTCAAAGGAATCGCTCATGCAGATCAAAGCAGGCTCGAGAAATTTGACTAAATATATAAAGGCTTTTTATAAATAGTTACAGCTTAAAGTATGTAGTTGATTGCACATAGAAAGCTATTAAATAGCTTTAGAAAAATGACTTGCACTAACTTCGTCACAATTGTATCAGTAGATTATTTGTTAAATAACATAAAATGTTGTCACTCTAAAATAAGAATAACTGCAGAATTATAGCTCATCATATTTCTTAAAGATATCCTTCCTTTGGTCATGATTGCCATTTCAACCATGGAAGCAAAATGCTATAAGGATGATCAATTTAAAGGAATGTGCATTGAGCTAGCCAGATATGAAGCAATTTGAATGGCACCCCTACAATACTTTATTGTCAATGTTACCATACAATACATACAATAATACAATACATTATCATCAATGGTACCACAAGAAACAGTATCACGGATGGTATCATAAAATACTTTATCAACAATGGTATCATACAATACATTATCACCAATGGTACAATAAACACTTTACCAATGGTACCATATGACACACCATCACCAATGGTATCATACAATATTTTATCACAAATGCTACCATACATTATTTTATTGGCAATGGTACCATAAGTTACTTAATAACCAATGGTAGTGTACCATGATCTCAGAGTGCAGATCAGGTTGTATCAGACTTAATAAAGTTTGGTGGAAAGACCCAGAAGTTTCAGAAAATTACTCAGATGAAAGATAGAAGGTCTATAATCTAAATGGTTCAAAGTCCAACTTGCGTATTTTCTATGAGCCTTATCTTTTTTCACCATCACCAATTATACAATGCTTTACTTCAGGATTTTAGAGTGCATATCAGACTGTATCGGACTTAATTAGAAAAGTTTGGTGGAAAGACCCAAAAGTTTCAGAAATTACTCAGATGAAAGATAGGTCTATAATCTAAGAGGCTCAAAGTCCAACTTTTGTATCTTCTTTCACAATCACCAATCATACAATGCTTTACTTCAGGATTTTAGAGTGCAGATCAGACTGTATCGGACTTTATTAGAAAAGTTTAGAGGAAAGACCAAGAAGTTTCAGAAAATTACTCAGATGAAAGATAGAAGGTGTATACTCTAAAAGAGGCTCAAAGACCAACTTTCGTATCTTCTATGAGCCTTATCTATTTTTTCATTATCTTCCTCTTAATTAGGAGGCCCCAACGGGGGGCCTCCTATTAATTTTATAGATATTATTATTATTGTTAACTTTAACTTGTTAAAATTTATTGTGCAGTATATTTTCCCTCATTTGTGAATTTTTGTCTGCCATAAAATATTATTATACCCTAGCTTGAATTCAAGAATTCTGATTGGCTAAAAAATACACAACTGATTTCATATCACTCGAGTTGGCACTAAAATGAAATATTTACCAATACTCATTCAAAAATTGCATAAGAATCATATATTTCCTGTTATCTACTCTTGGGAAAATGATAATGCATACAGATTTTGCATTACTTTATTGTACTTCTATGTTTTAAAGGGTGATGTGCCATTAAATAACTTAACAGAAAATAATAATAACTTAAAGGGGCACTGTCTTTTATCATTTCATCCAAAATAAATGATGAAAATCAAAAAAAGTTGTGATTCTGTTAACATTTGTTCCACGAAAACAATATATAAAAATTCAACTCCTCAAAATCTATAAAAAGTTCTCAATAGTTTTGCACCTACAACCAAAGATGTAGAAATGATATTTATTCTAAACTGAACTGAATTCCATAGTGATAATCCATCACTTTGGCAGTATTCACTGAAAATGGGCTTCATAACAGAATGTATAAACCTTAAAGGCATGTAATAATGTACATCCAACGTATTCCAATGATGATTTGCAGTATAGGAGCCAGTGCCACTTTAAAGCGCATAGTTGCAGCTCAAGGAAAGGTCATCAAGGTCATGTTGGTTTTACTTAATTTCTCTGTTATGTTTCAATGAAACTGGGTTTATTGTAGTTTTATATTTAATATTATAAGTTATTCAATGATTCAAGCGAAATACAGAAAATATTCTTCCCGAGAAGGTCGTATTTCACGATGCGCTAGCAGAGTGAAATACAGACGTTCAAGGGAAGAATATTTTCTGTATTTCACAAGAAATCATTGAATAACGTTTTTATTCCATGATTACTCAGATAAAACTCCCCTAAATCAAGTCCATTTCCTTGGCTTGGGACCGGAGAAACAGATCAACCTTCTCACCTCAAAAATATTTTACATCGATATTCCTTCAAAATCTTTTCAGCCTTGTTGTTTTGCATTTATTGTATTATACGATACGTTTGATTTTCTTCAACATTTTTCTTCAATTTCATCAGCTGGAACAGTGTAACGAAACGTTTTTTCGACTTTCGTCTGCCATATTGGATTTTTACTAGTTCATGAAAACAATATGCACGCTTCATACTGATTTTTTTATAATTACAGATGAGTGTTTTTTATCCTAAAATAATAAATTGTGGTGATCACCGTATCATTTCCTGATATTCAAATCAGATATTTCTAGCAAAATGCAAATATTAGCAAATATAAACAGATCGCCATTGATTTTTTCAGTAATAGTCATATCCTGGATGGAAATCTGGGGCTTTGGGATACTGGACCGTATCCCAACGCTGACGTCATTTTCACTCTGTATCCAATGCTAAGTGGAAGGTGCGTGTAAATACAGGATATATTTAAGTCACATGGACCAATCAGATTGCAGGGAATTTCACCATCATGGAATAAAATATTGTATTTACTTTACATCTGGAAATTGTAATGTTCTTGCTTCAGTGATCTCCCCAGCATTAAAGCAAGTGGGCGCAGCACCCACCTTAGATTTTGAAAATAGGCTTGCACCCACCTGAAAACCCATTTGCACCCACATGAAAATGAGAAAAATCATGAAAAATTGGCATAATTTTGGTCTGAATTGGAAAATGAGAATTTTACACCCACCTGAGAAAAAATCCTGGGGAAATCACTGCTTTTTTCATGCATTTTTACATTCATAATTTTTAACATGACCAATGACGACACAAGGAATTCGGGAATAGTAGCATCAGTGAGAAAGTGAAGCGCCACCTGGTGAACAGAATACTTACTCTCTCGTTCTCGGGAAGATGATGCTACGAAAATAAAATAATTAAATAAATCATCAAGCATTAAATACAATACATATATGTATTATAATAATAAAACACCTAGATAGATTTTCAGATCATTTCAAAATGGAAGCTTTACTGTGGATATTTTATTTCTTCTTTGACATCAGGACTGACAAAAGATGGCGAAGTAACAACAACTATTGAACTGCCATCTATACAAGTCCTACTAAATGAAAATGCATTTGAAAATGATCGGAGTTCTTCATAATAACTAAAGGGATTTAGATATAAAACTTAAATCAGGGTTTGATATGTGCCATATCTAGCAAGTTGTAAATCTTTATGATTTAATCATTTGATACCTATAAACATTGCCACAGTTTATGGACATCTTTCTTCACATAAAGACATATGTATATGTTATGGATGAATGGTCCACATAGTTAACTGGGTGATCGGGGTGCCCAAAAAGATTCATATTCTTAATCCTAAGGATGATTCAAATCATACTAATATATTTAACGTTTTTTATACTGATCATGAACATTTTAAGTGTTTGGGAAATACGTTGATGACAAAATGTAACGATTCTTCAAAAATACCCACAATCCCCTAACAAACAACAAAGGAAGTTAGGACCCGCGAAAATTTACGAACAACAAATCTCCACCATATTTAGATTTGAAAGCACATTAAATTCAACTTCAAGATTAGTGGGGGTCTTTCATACCAAAGGATGACATTACCCTAGCACCTACAGTTCTGCATATTTCCAAGGGATGATATTACCCACAATGCCATAGCTATTGTAACATTTATCTACCTTTAAATTATATTTCTTCACACCATGAGAAGCCTCACGAAAAGTTGTGATTCATAACAAAGATGCATTTCAAGCCCAAGTCCTCCCAAGAAATGCCAAAACCTCAATTTTGTACGAACATGCATTTCCTAATGTCTAACTTACTTGTTTTAACTGTCTCACAGTCAGTATTTAAGGCTTCAAATACCTCAAAATCTGATGGTGTGACCGTTACAATATTATTCGTAGATCCAAGATCATTTGGAATTGTCCGCTGCATCAAATCAAAACAAACCAAAATGTAAACAATCACACTCAAAAAAGCACAAAGAGTCTCGAAAATATCAATTCTAGAGCACATTGAAGTTTTGTTTCTTTGCATCATCAGATTATTATTTAATCTCCAGATCTTTGATCTCAATTATTTCTGCTCCAATATTTTCAACAAAAAGAGGAAAGTTGTAGCAAAAAAGAAAATGTCGAAAAAATTCCATTATAATTTTTTTTTGCAAGTCTGTATTTTCTCTTCATAAGGTGAATCTATCATACCAGATTCTCTTCCGTTAAACCAAAACACAGTGCTCTAAATTAATATTTACGAACGATGGCATATGCAAGTATCTCATTGTGTAACTTACTCATCTTTTTTTCAGCTGCACTACTGTCCACTGCAAGAGCCTCGAAAACTTCAAAATCTGACTGCTTTACGTTTATAAGGTTGTTATGGCTGCCAAGGTTATTGGGAATTAATGGCTGAAAGAGATTATACATATACGACAAAATGTTATCCCACAACCAACAACGAAAAATGTTTATACAGGGGTTTCATCAGCGGCAGGCAATGAGTGATTTTTCCTGGTTTGCTCACCAACATTTATTCTTGTTCGTGGAATTTAGCAACTTTTTCAATGTTAAAATTCCCAAAGATTTTTCCAGTTATAATTTGTTTTGCCTATAGACCCCTGTACTTATACAGCAATCTCGCCAGGATTTCTCCTCCAGTTGGTGCAAAATTCTTAATTTCTTGAAGTTTACGATTTCAATGATATTAATTGCCCCAACTAGATGTGGTAAGAAGTTACTTCAATGCTGAGGAGATTGATGTCATATAAGTATTGTACATGTAAAAATAACAATGAAATAGTAATAAAATTTTAATCACGAGTAGTATTTGGTGAACATAACATCCAGCCCAAAAAATTACAAAATATCTGATGTAAGAGATATACGATAGGTTATACATGACATGACAAACTACATGTAATTTACAGAGGCTATATTTGACATAAGACAGGCTCAATTTTGAAACATACCCTTGTGTTGTCATGCTTCCAAGCGCCATCAACATAGAACTTGTACTGATGGTCACCTTCGGGCAGTTCAAGAATCTGGTAGAAATCCCCGTGACTGAAACACATAATAAATGTGAGATATAACACAATCAGTGTTGAAATCAACCCCCAATCATAATTAATTATGTGAAAAAATACTACACCAATATTTGACTCTACCAGGGAGACAAAATATTCAGTTGAAATATACATATATTGTATGCATGTTTAAATATTTAGTATAAATTAATCCTCTTCAAAAATACCACAATGCTGGGTTCGTTCACAGTAAATTAGTATCCTTGAACTCGCCACATGATGTTATGTGTAATACACTGACCTCTTAACCATCGGAATTTTAGTTTTCCAGCCATCGTAACTTCCAGAGAGATAAACGTCCTTGCCCCCTCCCTCCCACTTGAAAACTGTGGGAAGCTTTGTGGGTTGAATATCAGCGTGGGATGTGATTGTGCTTGCTCTGGGCCTGGCAAATGGTTCAAAGTCAGCATCGCTGATCTCCATAGCCTGGAAGACATAGATGCATACAAACTACAAGTACAAACTACATGTGACTTTTTGATTTTTCAGCCCAAAGTTCACATATCAGGAAAATAAGGCAAGGTCAAAAATGAATTTTCAAACTGATATACTTCTCATTTTATCTTTCGATCTTTATCAATCACATTGTGATTATGGGGACATAATAGAATTGCAAAACAGAGACGGCATGTTTTAACATCAGTTTATTATACAGGGTGGTCCAAATTAGTGAGTTCAGGGACTGGCTACTTTTGGTCTGGACAGGTGAACTCTTCCAACCTGTCAGTCTGTTGGTCCTGTGAGTAATTTTGCCTTAAGGAGAGCTCTGGATGCCATGTAACTTTTGCAAGACCTTTATGGTACCCACAAAAACTTTAGACCTCCCTCTAAAACATGTGAGAATATTAACCCGTAGTGCAAGTTATAAGTGAGATAAAACTTGCTGTAAGGGTTCACTTTTTTTTGGACCACCCTGCAGTGTACTTAAGTCATCTAATGATACATGAACATTCAATTACTTTCTGCCAGTTCGGTGATTATTCTATAAGGACACAAATTTTCAAAGGCAAATTGTTGACAGTTGAATTTCAACATCATTCTGAGGCTTTAAAAATGAAATTTTCCATATTTTCTGTGAATGTATGGCAGGCACTACCTTAACAACATGAAAACGTACCTGGAATAAACATGTTTACATATCTGAGATGAATGAAATGAATGTCAAGCCAGCTTGTTAATTGCATGATTTACCCCGGAACCTGGGCCAATTACCCTTCAGTCAGACAAATGACAGGTGGCAGTGAGGGCTCCTTTAAGCCCCCCTAGAAAACAAGCACAAATGGGTGTGGAATTGAAGCGGAAGTATAACTTACAACTAAAAATGTGATTTCTGAGATTTTTGACATTTTGACCTTGAAATCTGGGTTATTTAAAGGTCAACTTTTAGAAATGCTATTTTTGTACAAATTTTAACAATTTCCAGTAAAAGAAATGAAAGTAATAGGGTGAACTTTGATTGTGACTAAAAATATGACATGTAAATAGAAATAAAAAATATTTTTATTGGCAATTACGTGCATTAAAAAATAAAAAAAAACTAGGTCAATGAATCTTCTGATTTTCATGCATTTTATTCAATGCTATCCCCAATACTCTTTTCTAGGTATATTATTACACTCTTTCTTAAAAATTGGATATTTAGCGAGCAAGATTTAGCGAGTATATAGATAGTACATAAAATGGATTAGCTACTTTATCAAGAGAGAAATGGGATTGTAACAAATATCCCTTTAAGCAGATATCGAGCACATAATTAACATATTTTTGGATAAATAAAATCTAAACCAGATGTGTGTTCTGTGCCAGTAATACATAACTGATTTACTTATTTCAATTCTTCTTTTGATAAGATTTTAAACGCTTCTTAATAATCTTGAAATGATTACTTTGATTTCTATAAGAAACATTCTGACTTCCCTGTTACATAAAAATAACATTATCAGCATTTTCTCAACAAGAAAATTCACTTCCAGCTCATAGAAATAAAGATAAGGTGAAAATGATTGTAAATAACTTTCAATCCTCAGTCTAAACAGACCTTCATGCATATCTCGAAAATAAAATCATCAGAGAAGGTTTCAAACCATCCAATCATGTCTAAAAGCAGAAAAGGATTTTTGAATCATTTCAATGTCTCCAAGGCACAACGTGCCTTTACCAGATCAAGGATACTCAGTAGTCCTACAACATTAGACCTAGCCTAGGGCCTCGTTTTTTATCGACATGTCTTGTGGCCCCGGCTAGGTCTTACCTCCAATGTCATTTTGGCATAAGTGCGTAAAGTTAATAGTTCCGCTTGTTAAGACAAGCAGAACTAATTAAACCCTAAAAACATGGTAATATTACATAAAGAAGTAATCTAATCATACATACAGACCTTATGAATAAATTCACACCATCCCGTATCTCCACTATTAAGACCTTATTGATGCTAATTACGAAAAAATTAGAGACAGGTTTGGAATTAACGAAAATTTCGGTCAGTTCTGGTAACATCGAAATTGCAAATCTTATCAGAAGTTAACCGTCATTGCGGCACTGCACCATGTTTGCAATAAATAACTATTCTATGTGTATACAAGTGCAATATAAATCAATCAAAGATATCTGTTATCCTCAAAATTGATTGTATTATCCCTAGTATGCGCAATAATAATTATCAATCTATTTGACAACAATTTCTTTTCACTATAGTTTAATTTTAACGGGGACGAACAGACACAATGAGGGACATGTCATTTTAGAAAATGGTAAGTGCCCGGGGGACTCACTATATATAAACCTTGACGGGGATCCTCGGCGCATGTGGGGTACCTTTTTCAACGTTTGGTATGGCAATGGACCCATATTTTAGGATTTGGTATGGGAATGCCCGGAAATTTCTGACTTCTGAGGTATGGCAATGGTCGGACTTTTGCTCTTCTGGTATGAGAATGGTCGCTGTAGATACGTTACCTAACTTTCGTGGTATGGCATTGGTCCAGTAGTTGCAAATGTGAAGTTGTTTTGGATCGTTTCCCGAAGTATTTTCTTTTCCAGGGCCTTCAACATTTGAATTTTATCCCTTTTCCCGGGAAATGAGGACCAATCATAGGCTTTGATGAAGTTTCGCGAGATTTTTCGTGATCCCATTGGTCCCATATTTGGACATTTGGTATGGCATTGGTCCTACATTTTGACATTTGGTATGGCATTGGTCCTATAATTGGGCATTTGGTATGGCATTGGTCCTATATTTGGACATTTGGTATGCCCTTTGGGCGTTATTTTGGTTGGTATGGGAACATATTGAAATTTGACAGATTGGTATGGGAACTTATTGATATTTGAGGCTTCAGCCTAGGACCCCCGTCGAGTTTTATATACAGTGATCCCCCCGGGGGTAAGTGTAGCCACATTTTACAAGTATAAATGAACATTTAACACAATATTGTGTTAAATCGCTTGATGCTATGTGTTTTTATATTATTGTCAAGTATCAGTTGCATTTTATTGAGGAAAAGTGGTTTCGATGGACACAGAACTTGCGACTAAGGAAAGAATAGTAAGGAGGTTAAACTCAATAACGGCCAAGATAATTCCTAATGGTAAAGAATGCCGTTATTGAGTTTAACCGACGTTGAACTAGGATACTCAGATGAGATATAAGTTACTGTGGTTTGCTGTGCATTTTTATATCAGACAGAACTAGGACACTGAACAGTTTTTCACCAATCAAGAAAATATTGAGGTACAATGTTTTTTACCGTAAGAACTCCTGGTGATAATGTATCTTGATCATCAAGTGACGGAGGCTGGTAAATTATGCGGTTTCTCCGGGTAAATGAATCATCCTCTCCTCCGATGCCCAACATTGACGGTGCGGTGTCATCCCCAGAGGAATGTCGTTTTTGTGTGCCGCCTTGTGTATTCCCCATCGTTGCCTATACTTGGTGGACCTATGTTCGTTCCGTTTCGTTATGTATTTCTCGTACCTGGCCACTAAACTAAGCTCAACTGCAACTGATTCCGAAAAAAATAAAAAACAAGTGTCCTTGATAATTTTTCAATACAGAATTATGAGAAGTTGACTGAATGAAAAAGGTCAAACCTTGCGGGAAAAGTATAACTTGTTCCTTTAGTTGTTATTTTTTATCAAACCATCATCGATTTTAGCTCAGATGAAGTAGAAAACGGCAGAAAAACACTTTATATTTTCATGTGCCTTCTTGTAAACAAATATGGCGGATCTTTGTGCTTCGCGGATTTCTCAAGGTCACTTGAGACAGGCTAGAAAACACACGTGGCTTTGTTTACATTCCCTGAGAACCATTGCCGGACCGGTGTGAAAGAAATGATGGTCCCCCAGGGATTATGGTCCCCTTTCTTAACGGCCCTTACTGACCTTGATTGCGTATAAGATAATGAGGGAAAGAGTTGTATTGAGGTCACCATATAAATCAATGGAGAGTAGGACCATAATTTCACCTACCCTTTTACACCGGGAATGCAGATGTCATGATAGACTGACCTATCTATGTATTTCTTAGGTCAGTCATTCGTCCATCTTTTCTATCTTTACCCATCATACTTGTATGTCAATTGCAAGAAATTGACAGATAATGACAAAATTTCGTGCATTTTGGATAAATAGGGACTGATCTGGAAACTAACAAATGGGGGCAGGTTTCAAGTCTGAAAAAATCTTTCCGGCCAAATTAAAAAATCGTAACCCCCTTTTCGGAAGTTTGGCCAAAATTAAAAAATAAGGCGAAAAGGCCCAATAATGCCCATAAGGCCCACTAATTGAGGCGAACAATTTTAGCCCATTTTTCTTGGCTCATCTCAGGAGGGAGGGGGGGGGGCTTGCCATCCGCCAGTGTGGTCAGTGACTCAGTGCTTGCCATATTATGCATTTTCTGTGCTTGGTTTATGGCAGCACCCGACAGAATCCGGTATTAGCCTATCTTCTTCTCGTAACTTTTTTATAAATAGCACAGATCGGCTATGCCATATCTTTGTTTAAAATTTATTTCCATCTTCCTAAGCCTATGGGGCAGTTGGAGGATGCAGGCCGAGGGCATATGGAGAACTTAAGAGGGAGTCCTAAGGACGTTCGGGGCACCATCTGGAAGACTTTTAGGGCGTTCGGGGTATAAGAAGGATGTCAAGGGTGTACAAGAGACGGGAAGGCATATAAAATGATTTTTGGGCATACGAAGATGGTTGTTTACTAAGAAAAGTCAGATTCATTAATTTTCCCCATTTGCTAAAAATTATCAATTCAAATCCGCTATAACATGAATTTCATTGTTTCAAACAAAGATAACGTCGACATTGGGAACAACAGCTTTCAACTTTCATATTCTCCGTAATGTCCATTACGGTATGTAATGACAACAAATGTTTATTATGTTCCATTAAAACGTTTTTATCTGCGTAATTGAATAATTGTTAAAAACTTCGAAAATCTTTAATAAAAAATCATCATAAACATGCAGCGTTGCAACGTATACAGTTGGGCAATTTGTTGTCTTTGCCTTTTCCTAGTTGCGGAAACTAAATCTAAATGGAAGAAACCAAGCGGTGGAGGTCAAGGAACCGGACAAGGAGTCACTCTGACAGCTGAAATTGATAACCTCGAAGATGCAATACAAATCTCAATTGAAAAATTGAAAGTTGATCTGAAAGAAGATTCGGCGAGTATTAGAGACGAGGTGGCCAATCTAAGGCTAGGTGAAGCAGACATTCGTGATAATCTTCTTGAATTGATGGAATCGATGATTGAAATGAAAAGACAACTGAATGAACTTACAAGCAACAACGCTTTAAAAGCTGCCACTAAGGCTGATGTACCACTTAGCTCAGAAGGTAAATTCCAACTATTGCTTCAAGAAAGTCTTTGATTAAATGATTTGAATTAATCTGATATTACTACATTAAAAAGAGCGAAATTGTATTTTTAAAATATTTTTGTTCATTTATTAATACAGTAACATTGGCACGATCATAGATACTTCGAATTAAGTAGGCTTACTCCGTAAAACGGTAACACAAAGCCGTACCCTGCGCGTATAGAGTCTTGTTAACGATGCAAAGGGTATCAAGGCGGCCATACTATAAGACAATAGAATCAAAAAATATGAAGGCAATAAATAAGTCCACAAGATAGTCCGCCGTTATAATGTTTCTAAAACCTGATCGCAGGCTCTGTACCCTTGGTACATAGATTAGTTCAAAAGTAACGAAGACGAAGCTCTATTTTTCAAAACGAAGTCAAACGAATGGATATGGGCAGTCTATTGCAGCATTAAGATACATCCTTACATTACTCATTGTATTGTTGAATAAAAATTAATTGATTGTCTGGATAAAATGTTGGAAATATGTGCAATGCATTGGTCACTTACCCAAACAATCCAAGTCTCACAAGTGACAGGCATAAACAATCGCCAATCAGTAAAGTTTTAACCTTTTTAATGACTTATTTCTGATGTGTCAATATATCATATCATATTATATTTTTGTTAGATTATAACTTGAATAAAGATTCTGTACTGTATTTTCAGACTGCAATAAGACATCCGCGATGTTCCAAGCAATCCAAGTTCAATTGAAAGGCTTCCACCAAGATAACAGTTACGTTCCAGTTGATTCTGAAGGTAAGAATCTTGTCAGACATATATTTTCTTTTTCTATTCCTAGATAATTACATTTACAATTAATAACATGCATTATTCGTTTTGACTAATATTGATCTGATAATATATAAGATGAACACCCTTCTTATGTTATGTCATGCTGCAAAGACTGTTTCTATATTTTTGGCTTTGGTGTTGTGTTATGCTTTGTATTATGTAATGAGTTTTTATGTAATTGTAAATATACTTACCTAAATTAATCATTCATCTACTCACATTCTTACTGACATTCATTGCTATCATGCAAATACTTATTCACACAAAAATTAACTTGTCAGACATATGCACTTATAAGACACGTGTACATTTATCAAAGGAATGCTCATTTACATTACTTATTCGCTGGTCAGTAACAGAAAGAGTTGACGGCCGTTATCGTTACATTCTCTTTAGAATGGCCAACCGTAAATGTCGATTTCAATATAAGAACCAGGCCACAGGAAAATGGGTCTTATCACTGATTATTTCAATGTTTTGATCTTTTGTTTTTCTTAAAAAGCACAAAGAGACCTTTCAAATGAGCCATGACTCGCTTTAAAATGGCGAAAACTACAAATCAATTTAAAAGAAAAATATGGCCTGACCAGCCAGTGGGATAATACGGTCGTAGCCTAGGTTCCCGTTGAAATGAATAAGTAAATGTAATTAGTGTTTTGAGTAAAACAAAGTAGTTATTGCATATTATTGTACAATAATATAAGTAACTATACTTACAGTTTGTAATAAATCGTCCGAGATGTTTAAAGTCATTAAAGAACAACTAAAGAGCTGCAAATATGATGAATTGGGAACGACTGACGATGCTATTGCACAAGGTATTTTTCTTAATAGTATTTTACCTCTAAATACGTTTTTTGCTTATTTTTCACTTGAAGCCACTAGAAAAATAGAAACAAGTGAAGATATTTTTATAAATTGTAACAATTTTACACTCCTCATTCTATGACGATTTAAAGTTTTAACTTTATTATAGGGTGATCATTCGATTTTGAAGGTTATTTGGCAAAAGTTGAACTGGAAAAGGGGAAGGGGTGTGACGTCATTCAAATGAATTATTTCATTCCGGCTTGATTGATTTAATTACATGTATGGTCTAATTAATATAATGATTTAGCAATTATTCAACTGTAAGATGAACCATAAAATAAGCCGCAACACTTAATGTTTTGAAAATGTTGTCCCTTCTAACAGGAAAATGCAACACAACGTCTTTTGAAACATTGAAAGGAGGTCTTGATGAAATGAAAGAAGAAATGAAGAAACTAGCTAGCAGAGACATGCCGCACAGGGCCAGATGATCAAACAAATAAAGGTACAGATAAACCATTAAGTTCATGTATAATTCTACTATAGTATCATAAAAAGACCCATGAAGTCTCACATAATTGCACAGAAGAGTTCAAATTTTGTTTCAAACCGACCAGCTTATGACACATTCTTCATTATTTCTAAAACAGATTGATAAAATCCCTACAGTAGAAGTTTGCAATGTACAACAGTAGTATTCTTATCCCAGCTTCTTACAGACCAAATCCTGTTTCAAACCTTTCCAGCATATACTGTATCAAGTACATTCTTTACTATTTCTAGAACAACCTAACAACGAAGAGATTCCTGTAGCAGGCGATTGCAATGGACAATCAGATGGTGTTCATAACATTACCACCAGCACCGGTAGATGGTTTCTTGCAAAGTGTGAAGCTGGTTGGCTTATTCTTGCATACCGCTATGATGGGAGTGTCGACTTTAACCTGGAGTGGGCAGCTTATAAACATGGCTTCGGTGATGTTAAGAAAGAACACTTCGTTGGACTGGACAATATTGTGTCTGTGTTGCAACAGAAGAGGTACAAGGTCAGGTTTGAACTCACAACATGGGAGAATGAGACACGATATGCTGAATACAACACCTTTAATATTAGTGATGAGACAGACAAATACAGATTAACTATTGATAGTTATAGTGGTACAGCAGGTCATTCTATGAAATGGTCGAACGGTCAACAATTTTCCACGAAGGATTCTGATAATGATAATCATGTTGGAGTTAATTGTGCGGTAGCATATACTGGGCCATATTGGTATAATGGGGGGGGGGTGTATAGAGGGTCTTGGAAATGCATATACAATATTTTTCAGCTCTCTTATACCATATACAATATTTTTTCACCATATACAATATTTTTCACAGCTCTTATACCATATACGATATTATAGGTGAAATACAATATACGATAATTTTGAAACTGCTTTTGATTAAAGTTTGGATATTTATAAGGAAATAATATTATATTAGGAGAGAATCCATGTACTAAAGTAAATGTATTATTATAAGGCAACTAGACTCCACATACATACCACAATGATTTCATTTATTACATTATGAATTAGACACCATTCGGGTACATCAGCATCAGAAAAGCTGTGACCACAAAGCTGTGACCACATTTTATTTTCAGGTAAACAAGTTGATTTAAAACACATTTATGATATAAGATTCATGATTTCTCTTTAGTGATTTAGCAACCTACTTTGACCAAAAAAACTAACTATGACATTGCTGCAATTTGCTAAAGCCATTAGCCCATTACCTGTAAAAGTACCATAAAGATATTCAAAATTAGCACAAAACCTGCATCATTGGAATGGGTGGAACCCAGTGCTCCTCTTTCTTGTGACCTACTTTCCCATGACTTATTTAAATGTCCTTCATTGTGAGCCAGGGATAAAAATTCTTGAAACATAATTGATGCAAAATTGAGAATGTTGAATAAAAGATTCATCATGTGTTCTATGAAAATAAAGTTTGCTGAGGAAAATATTTATCAATTAGATAATGAAGATTCACAATGCACAATAATTTTGTAAAGCAGTTACCTGGAAAATATTAAGTATTTAAAACAGTTTCAGAAATAAAGGACTTCACAAACTTCCATGTAGATAATTCATTTTTGATTGGACTCGAGTCTGGAAACTAGAGTTTGAAATAAAGGCAGGATGAGACTTGATTGTTTAAACATTTGAAACATGAGACACTTCGGGGTTTCAGATAAGGCAGCCTCAAAGACAGTATAAGTTAAACAAAGGTGTGTCAAAATTAAGCAAATTTCTATGAAGGTCAAACCACATGTTTCACAAATGATTTCAAGGCAAAGATGTATTGATGAGAATGAAAACTACTCTATGTAAATAGAAATAACTTTCTTTTAAAGGACCACGGACGGTATCGCAACAGATTTCAGTCATATATTGGATTTTGGCTATTTTCTGAGGATTTGAACAGGTGCATATGTTAGGCCAATGCATTAACTCCAGGACAAGCAGTCATAGAGATTATAAAATAATTTGGACTTTAAGACAGGGAAGGTGCAAACACCCCATCAACATGTTTTTCTGTAATGTTGTCCTGATTTCCAGCCCTTTCCACACCTGTTTTTCAATGTTTGTTGCATCGATCACTCTGTTGCGTTTTGAGACATGGTTAAGATCTTTAAATGAAAATATGATTCATGCAGGGGTTTTAAAGATATCAATTTTGGATGACCAAAATTAAGCTGGATCACATGAGTTTTCCCTATGGGAAAATAACATGGGAAATACATGTACTGTTTTCCACTTTATCCCAAATAAATTATATTTTAGAGGTTAACTGCAGGCCTGTCAACTGTCCCGCAATTTGCGTATTTGTCACGCATTTGCTGAAGAATTTGAAGTCACGCCAGTTATTTTTGCGTGACAGAAAATGTCACGCAAATACGCATTTTACCTGGTAATTGTCAAGCAAAAATATTTCTGTCGAAACTTTTTTAAAAAAGATCGTCTACACAGTAAAAATACGAACGCCGGAAAAAAACGTACGCATTTCGTTCGGACTTTTCACGCGAATTGCGTATATGTCACGCATTCCGTTCCAAATATTTCGTACCTACCCCCCCCCCCCCCTTTGACGGATGTTATAAACGCGAGCGTAGCGAGTGCGAAAAATTTGAGGTGTTCAAAATTTGGCAAGATGTAATAAAATTTAATCCAAGGTGTTCAAAATTTGGATCAAGGTGTTCAGATTTGGACCAAGGTGTCCACATTTTGAGGGGAGGTGTTCAACATTTCCAAGTCACTCATGTTAGGTGTTTCCAAGTTGACAGGCCTGTAACTGTGTCTCAAAGTGCAACATATTGGTGCATCAAACATTGAAAAAACATATGTGGAAAGGGCTGAAAATAAGGACAACATTTCAGAAAAACCTTCCCTGTCTCAAGGTTCAAATTATTTTATTACCTCTATGAGTGCTTGATCTGGAGTTAATGCATTGGCCTAACATATGCACCTGTTCAAATCCCCAATAAATAGCCGAAATCCAACACATGACGGTTTGAAGACCAAATAAACACCTTTTGCTATATTATGCTATATTAGCATTGTGATGCTTGTATTAAAACATGCGCTGTATGGACACTTTATACTCAAATATTTTCATGATTTATCCCACATACCCCGAAATACGAGTAGCCATAGTGACCATATTTTTCATCAAAGTTAAGATGGTCAATGACATTTGGCAGTCTCACGCCCGGTGATCTGATGAAATGAACGGAGGGGGAGTAGCTGATTTTCGGTAAATTCAACAAATGTTGAAGATTTATTTTTTCAAGCAAAAGTTTACAATTGAATGGCTATGTTAGGTCTTCTTGGATTTTTTTTGAACTGATGGAGTTCTAAGATAAAAGGTCTATTAAAAAAGGCGCAGCGTCGCCAACGTGCAAATGCCAATGTTTTTGCTATAAATCAAGCAACAATGGTCTGCACGACATGTAATAAATATATAAGCGACATTTTTATATCACAAAATTCATTGCCGGTTTTTTAAAATAATTTTCCAAATGATGGATAAAAAATAATCTAAAATAATTAAAATTGAACGGAGGGGGGGGGGAGTGAACGGAGGGGGGGGGGGAGTAAAATGTCTTTAAGGTGGAAGAAATTTCCACAAATTCGTGTACTTGAAAAATGAAGTCACTTACTCAGTTACTTGATGTTACAACTCTGAAAAGTGAAAAATGGGGACATATGGATTTATTGGAAGTTTTCATATGTCTTATAGACAAATTACTCCCCCCCTCCATTCAATTTTAATAATTTTCGATTACTTTTTATATAACGTATGGTAACATGTTTTACAAAACCCAATAGTTTTGTGATAATTACTTCACCTACAAGTATTTATTACAGGTCGTGGAGACCCCTGTTGGTTGATTTATAGCAAAAACATTGGCATTTGCATGTTGGCAACGCTGCACTTTTTTAATAGATCTTTTATTTTAGAACTCCACAGTTAAAAAAAATCAAAAAGACCTAACATATTCCCCCGTCCACTGCGTCTATTCATTTAGCCATTCAATTGTAAACTTTCTCTTGAAAAAATAAATCTTCAAGATTTGTTAAATTTTCTACCGAAAATCAGCTAGATCTACTCCCCCCTCCATTCATTTCTTCTGATCACCGGGCGTGATTCTTCTTTAACACCTCCTGTGAAAATTTGAATGAAAAGGGCACAAAACTCTTAGTTTGAGAGGGATTTTCTCTAAACTAACAGTATCGATTGACCTGGAATTTGAAAACAATTATAGAGACTAACTTTTCCATGTTTTTCCAACACGGTTACAGTAAGAGAGTTGGCACAATGGGGGAACTTTAGGGTACAATTTCTTCATAATTAGCCTTCTTTAATTCTAGATACCATATACCATATTTTCTAAAATATCATATACCATATTTTTTACACCTCTTATACCATATACGATAAATTTTGCCCCCTCTTATACAATATACAATAAATTTTCAGCCTCTTATACGATATACAATATCTCTATACACCCCCCCCCCCCCCTATAATGAATGTAACGGTCTCCAAGGATCCATCTTTGGCAGATACTCGAAAACTCCCTGTCCGTATAATTGTATAACTTGGGCAATGTGGAAGGGAAAACTTCCTGGAGTTACTTACAATCACCGCTATTCTTTCAAAGAGGCAAAGATCAAAATTCGACCTATTTAAAAATATAGCCTTCAGGCCCGTAGTCAGGATTTGCCGGGAGGGGGGGGGGGCACTTTTTGAAAAATTCCAGGGGGGTTCACTTGTGACAAGTTTGGTCCAAAAATGGCCAAATTCACTTAAAAAGTGCTCAGAATGGTGAAAAACTGCATGATTTTGAACGATTTTTTGGCCTGGGGGGGGGGGGGGTCGCTCGAACCCATCGATCCCCCTGGCTATGGGCCTGGCCTTTCAGTCTTTCAGTTTTGACATGGTCCACTTCATGTACTCATTTAGGATTGCAGCATATAAAAGTAGTGGCTTATTGAGTGATACTAAAACATGTTTCGAGATGTCAACGCAAACTTTCTCTGACAAAATGTTATTTATATATTTTTTGACAACATATTATGTCTCTAATATTTTGGGATTTACTTTGTAATATTTGAAAGGGTTTGAAAAATAAATTGCATTTTGTGATTTAGTTTCAATCATCTCTTTTCTGTCGAACATTAAGGGTAAGTCAGGTTATATAAGTCTGAGGAGGTACGAGTTCTCACAATGATATCAAATACGCCCGTGTTAATATCTAGTGAGAATACCCTCAATCAGGGTAAAGACGTTTGCAGATCTTCCCATCTTAAAATTTGATTACCTGAACTAATTCACTAGAGTTGTCTTTTGGCCTGTTGCACTAACTCCAACCTATATAGGACATTAGCCAATACATTGATTAATATAATGAAACATAATGGTTAATATTGATAAATTGCTTATATTTTATAAACCATTTTAAAAATGAATTTTAATGTATTAAACTTTATAGTCTCACCTAAGCCGACAAGGCTTGGTGCCAAAGAGATATGTGGGACTTAAACAAATACTACTACCACTACCACTAAACAAATACTACTACCTCTACCACTTGACAAATACTGCTACCACTACCACTACCACCACTTTAAAAAGAAGAAATATGTAGGCCAAAAGCTTTTATTTTTAATGTCTTCAATTAATGACGTCATGTTTTTTTGAGAATATGGTTGAATTCTATTCAAATCAGGTAGTTGCCATGTAAAAAAGGATTTAAACATGTTTGGTTTTAAAAGATGTCTCTTAAATAGTATACACTCAAACTCAAAAGTATAGTCAATGACGACATCTATGAAACTTGAAGCAAAACAATCAATGCTTTCTTCTGTGATGCTGTAGGCCTTGGCCATAGAGCCTATATGATGTTTTCAAGATACCGTTGGTATGTTGGCTCTGTATAAATGTATTTTTATTATATTTTCTAGTAAACCAGAATTTAGCGAACCCTTTAACTACATTTTGATGTTTTTTTCATGTCAATGTGTAATTGAAAGGCGGCCGTAGTTCCACAAAATCGAGAAATATGCAGCAAATGTGACTGAGACATAACTTGCACCATCAATACTAGTACTGACCTTCTTTCTGAAAATAATTCGGAGCTCTAAAAGAATCCTCACCTCGTCAGCAGGTGATGATTTCAAAACTAAATGGCAATTCATCTATTCGCTATTTAGAAAAGAAGGTATATGTCAAAATATATTTATTTCGCAAGTCATATGTTTGAATCATTATGAATTAAAACTATTTTGTGGTAATTTTGGACGATAATGACAGCAACAAGCCCTTCAATAGAAACTACCTGAAATTATTTCGTACTTTCATTCTGCTACACATCTTTCTGTTTTTTAACTCGAAAGGAACTTATATGCTATGATTTCTCACGATGTGGTAACTTTAAAGGGAAAATTGTTTCGTTACCCCTTGCTATTTGGATTGCTTATTTGAAAAAATGATTTGGTATATAATCTTTTTTCTCATTATTTGCATTTCTCGTTGGCTTTCTTTCATGAAATACCTTCAACGCAAGTCAAGATGGTATGTACTTATAGTTAATAACAAATATGTTTCATATATTCTAATTGTAAATATCAAGCCCCCGGGGGTGCTATTGACACAACATTCTCTTTTCTTTGTGTGTATGTTTTGACAAGATTTTAAATGGTTCATAGACTTTTGTATTGTAATTGTATTTTTCAAATGTTTCACTCCGAGACAAATTGATGAATATAATTGTATTCTTATGTATTCATTAACGCAAATATTTTCTTTTTCCTATTGGTAAATTTGCTATTGTTGAAATATTACGCTCGGCAATAATGTATGTTTACAACCCATTTTCAAAACAGGTACTTTACACGTGTGTATGATTTTGTTAGGGTAGGAGGCACACAGATGTGCCACTTATCCATTCTTTTCTTTTATATTGATTGGGGCTAGGTCCGGGGGCTAGGTCCGGGCCGGGGGCTAGATATAACATACCCAAAAAGATCAAGACTAGAAAAAGGGACGACGTTGAAATCCAAGTAGTTCAAAACTATTAAGTTAAGCATCACTTAGAACTTGGCGAGTCGTATATCTCAGCGATGAAATAAGGAATATGATTTTCTGTAAGGGCTGGCACATGTTTTATCCAAATCATAATTTTGATCATCTTTTTAATTAGTTCTCTCATGTATACATCACTTGATTAAAGATACTTTTGGTAATTTTTTGAACGCTGATCACAAAACGAGCAATGACCAATCGACAGGGAACGCCGCGTCGGAAATTATCTCTAATTAATTAGGTGTAAGATCTCATGTGGAGCCGGGCTGGAACTAACGTAGGAAATTCCCCGTATTCGTGTTCTAAAATTCGAAAAATGGACGAAAATGGACGAAATAAAAGGAAATAATCTGAATTTTTATTGACTTCAAACCCCCATTTTTATAGTTATGCAAAAAACTTAAACACTTTATTCAAATTCTAAACAGAAAAGGTGTGATTAACACAAGGACCCGATTGGAATTCAAGCCAATGGAAACATTATCAGTAGCTATTAACAAAGCGGTGGCATTGTCAAGTGTAATATCATTCCTCCAGCCAATCAGCGCATCAGGATTCAAGCCTCTAGTACCTTCGAGCACTTCGCCGAGTATATTGCTACCAGATCGAGTAAAACATTTATTTTCCCCCAAGCTGGCTCTCGGGCACATGTCAAAAGACGCACATTGCGTTCCATATGTAAGATATCTTATGTCAAAGTAGGTCCTGTGGCGACGAACAAGCTTCCTAGTGATTGTGTTCATCGGATCCACAGGTAACATACAACAAATCTGACACTACGGCTTTTAAATACAGCCATGGCGAGCCGAGCTGACGATGAGGAAAATAGGAGCCCTATAAACTGTCTAAACAGCATTACTGATTTAGATAATCCGAATGATAATTCTTCGAACTCCAGCGATGACGGAAATGCTTTTGATAACACGAAAGAGAACGTGAACAAGGCAGAGAACGGAACGAAAAACACTGAAGTTATGCAGACACCAAATGTCGCTGATCTCTTATCGGGTAAAAATTTGACATTTTCTCCGGAACAAGTTGCGTGTGTTTGCGAGGCGTTGCAACAAAGTGCTAACATTGATCGTTTAGCAAGATTCTTGTGGTCTCTCCCGCCCAGTGAGCTCCTTCGCGGGAGCGAGGCCGTCTTGAAGGCCCGAGCAACAGTCGCATTCCATCGTGGTAGCTTCAGAGAACTTTACGCAATTTTAGAAAGTCATAACTTTGATACCTTAAACCACCCAATGCTACAGCAAATGTGGTACAAAGCTCATTACTTAGAAGCTCAAAAAATCAGAGGTCGACCTTTAGGTGCGGTGGATAAATATCGTCTCCGAAGGAAATATCCCCTGCCCAAAACGATCTGGGACGGAGAAGAAACAGTGTATTGCTTCAAAGAAAAGTCGAGACAAGCTTTGAAAGACTGTTACAAGCAAAACAGATATCCCACCCCGGACGAAAAACGGAATTTGGCAAAGAAAACGGGGTTAACTCTAACACAAGTCAGCAACTGGTTCAAAAATAGACGACAGAGAGACCGAACACCTCACCAACAGCATTGTCGAAGGTATGTAGAACCCAAAGGGACCCGGTGTAAACGGGTAGGAGGTCCTATCAATTTATGGTCCTACTTTACATTAATTTATATGGTGACCTCTTTCCCTTATTATCTTATACACAATCAGGGCCAGTAAGGGCCGTTAAGAAGGGGGACCATAATCCCCGGGGGACCATAACTTTTTTCACACCGGGTTAAATTCCCGAAACTTTATTCTGCCACATATTCACAGTCACACATTACTAGTATCTTTTAAGCGTCGACATATTTTTAGCCTCCAGATTTTAACTATATAAAGTATACTATGGTTAGACATTATATTTTTAAAGGTGTTTATATTGCCGTTTTATACAAAATATTATTTTTTGAATCAAGAAGACTTCATATTGACTGCAGAATACATGTATGTCACCATCTGTCAATCATTTTCGAAACGTTTTGTCGAAAAGTCATTTTGGTGCAAAATCATGGCTAATTTAATGCAGTGTGAGATATTGTTGACATATATAAATCAAAACGATTGTTAACTTTAAAATTGACATCAGTTGAATTGATTGGTGTTTTAACGATTTACTTTGAAATCACATGAGTGTAAAATTTTCACCCACATGATCTCATGGGATTATTGATAATCCTGGTGACTTTAATCCAGAGGTTTCTTGGTACATTAAAATATCAAGTTCAAAATATTTAAAACGAGGAATTTTTTCTGAGGATTTTTATATTTATCTAAACGTTTCTTAACTCAAATACAGATGTGAAGATTTTTTGTTTTTATTTATAGTTTGGTGTCCAAATGTTTGTTTTGTGATTTGTCTGTAACATCCAATATTTAAACATTTTCAAGTAACCCTTCCAAACAACAAGTCAAATCAATTTATAATTATTGTGGCCTTGTTTAACGGTAACAATTAAAAACATCACCTATGTTATCAAACAAAATATGTTCGACTGCGAAAAGCACAAAACAGTTCCTTATAATCCGTAAGTAAATATTGATACTTAAATTTGTGATTTAGGGGAAGGACTATTTATGCGTATGGAGCATTCAATTTATGTTATGATACAAAAACACATGTCATTTGCTCGAGTAAGGATCGCCAATTTGTACTCCACAGATTTAAATATTTGCACAAAACATTTACATTTGCCGTTCGATGATTAGAAACAGTGAAAGAACACGTTTCCGTTTCTTCGTACTCATTCTAAGAAATAATAGTACCTCAAACATCATGTACTCTAATATTTGCTCCATCAAATATGCGATTTTTTCAAACGATATTTGATTTACAATTACATTAGATGGAAATGATTTTTCATTAATTCGAGAACATCTTTTAACACTTATTTAACTAATATGAATTATTAATACAATTTGTTTAATAATTATCAAGTTTTATTTTATTGTATTTTCAATTTTTATTGTTTTTGCATGCAACAAGATTAATAAAATCACGGAATTGATCGAATGGGCATCAAACGAAATTCAACGTTTGTCATTGGCTATGTCAATTAAAGGATGTTTCTTGTCAATTGCCATTGCAGATGCTACCAGTGTTAACACGATATACTACAAATAGATATGGATTGTTGACGTCGTGGATCGTAGTTAACAACTCATTTTATTTGTAAATTTATATAACCTGAAATTCTTCAAATTGCATTCAATATATCTATCCCGCCCGTCGTTGGAACAAAAACATTGCCATGGTAATCACAAACCACAACACTCGTGTAATGATTTTGTTTATACCAGGAAATTAACAATCATTAAATAGTCGTTCAAAAGATAACAGCTTATCAACTATATTTCAACTTCTGTGGTCTAAATCTCTCAAGAATTATACGGTGTCTTATATTTAATTCTTGTTATTTCGTATTTGTGGTTATTTTCTTGTAATAGTTACTTTTGCTATCAGGTGTGTGTTTTCATTATTCTATTGGTTTCAATTCTCATATTAATTAGGATATTAGTTTACACGATCCCTCAAGCCGTTCTTGTCATTCTAGAAGTTTGGATCTGACATCTCCCCTATTTCGAAATTAACGCGAATGTCTCCGTGAAAAATATCAGATCATTTCTTGATTATAATTTTCTTTGACTTACATTTTCTGTAAAATCACGTGTTTTCTAAAGAGCCGATTTGTAAGATTATGTAACATAACAAACAATACAAGTTACAGGTTTTTATTGCAGTGCCTAGTTTCTTCCTCGTTCGTTTATTTAGTGTATCAGATCATCAGCTCCTTTGTCGTTTTGCCCCCGGGTCCATGCTTGCCATTCACGAGATGTTGGAAATAGTTTCATAATGTACACAGAAAAATAATATCCATTATCTCACGGCTTGTAAAGAAAAAACAGAGCTAAGATTGACCAGAGCGAAATAAAACCTTTCAACTTATCTTGGTCGATTTTTCATAAATCAGGGACGACTCCGGGAAATTTCTGGGTAAAAATTGAACTCTTTCAAAGTACTTGATACTTTCGTGATGTTTGCAACTTGAGTCAGTCAAATTAGGCCCATCTCTGTTTCGAATATTTCTTTGGAAGTAGAAGATGCATCAAAAATGCATCGTTGTTGAACAGAAAAATATAAGGTTACCTTTAATTTGTTTCAAAAAGAACTTCCGGCCTGTTGGCCCCCCACCCAATGCGCATACGCGGGGAACCACGTGGTTTGAATATGTCTCAATTTTTGATTTATATTTCAGTTGTAATTTCATATTAATTAATTAAAAAAATAAAATCTGCTCAGTTTAGTAGTTCAAATCTGACTCTGTTTTAATTTAATCATATCACTGTTTTATGATCAATATTTAGTAATTGTTTTCACTAGAGAGGTAGTCATCATTACGTCTATCGCACATGCCCCTCATTTGAAGCTACAACTCTAGTTATTTTTACTGATTTCTGAGTATGGGTGCTACGATCGTTGGGTGTGTATTTGCTAGCTTCTTTACACGTAATGTCAATGTGCATCACTTGTCTTGACTTTGTTACTGAAATGTGTTGTTAAGAAAAAAAGTATTGTTAAGAAAATGGAAGAAAGAATCACAATGTTATCATTTAATTTTGCCAACATGCGCAAACCACATCATGTACAAGTGTGTACCACACTCTCAAATTTTCATTTCGAATTGTTGATGTTAGAGGTATATAGTCAGAGTGTCATTTCAATCAAGAATGTAGTTTGCAAAAGTCAAGTTAGTTAAAAGAATAAATAAAAGCAAATGGTACCATGTCAATTTTCTTGGATACAAGAATGTACTATTAAAAGTGTAGTTTGCAAAAGTCAAGTCAGTTTAAAGAATAAATAAAAGCAAATGGTACCATGTCAATTTTCTTGGATACAGGAATGTACGATTAAAAGTGTAGTATGAAAAATTCAAGTCAGTGTAAAGAATAAATAAAAACAAGGGTACTTGGTCAATTTTTGGATCCTCCCCCGTTTCAGATACACAGAAACATACCTGTGATATGTCTGTCTAAAACGGCTACTTCAACCAAGGATCACATTTCTAGAAAATGTTACTCTAACTACACTACAAGTGGCATATTTTCAAGTGATTCAAGTACACCCATACGAGAAATATCTTAATTATGATATTCCAAGAAGACAATAGAGAGGAGTTCTGAGAATTGTTAATTAATGAATAACTAAGCAATTTGAATATGTTTTGAATTGTATAAAAGTGCAAGAAAATCCGGTTTTTAGATCAAATAAAGAAAATATGTGTGGAGTTAACGAATTACCAAAACTAAATTTTATGTTCGGGCAATAAACAGAAGATGGGCAGACTCATCCAGAACGATTTTTGTGGTCTTGTATAAATCATCGTCACTTGTTGAGAAAATTACAATGACATCTCAGTTTGAAAATTTTCACATCATTATCTGGGTATGTGAACTCATATCAAATCGTTAAAGGCGAATTAAAAAGTGTGTTCACGAGACACGAGGGAGGTAGACAATGCTCGGCATGCTTTTTAGAATTTTTGATGTAACTGGTTTATATGTTTTTAGGAGTTTGTGTCAGCTTGTTTTCTTCAAATGGTGTTCCCTGTACTAAAGTATCAACTCCTTCATTTATTTATGACTCCTAAAGGCCTTTTTGCCTGGGAAAAGTTTAAACAATTTTACCTTATTTTGAGCCTTACCCAATATTATTAACATGTGCTATAATATATGAAACTTTTTGAAGGAGGTCTTTTTGTTAAAAATTGTGATTTTTGTCACATGCATCTATCTTTGATAAGCATAATTTACACCAATTTATAGCGCACATCCGATCGTATTTTGATTGATTAAACAATATTTTCAAACTTTGCTTGGGGCCTTTAACATTTTTAAGCCAATATTCAGTTTTTACCCCGGGGTTGCCTTATACCGTGAAAATCACTAAGCGGGGCTAAAAGGAAATTCTAGATGACAATTTAGTTTTATGTGACGTTGTGATGATGTATCATATCATCGATTATGATTGTATTAATACGCGGCGCATCATTGTCACTTAATCGCCATTTGATACATTAGATTTGATTAATCCAATCATACTTAATGCGGCAAATTACGATCGCACATTTGGAAAGTGATTTAAGTGATTTCAAAGGATGGAAATCCAACTAAACGTGCAGTGAAGACCGCATAAAATATGAAAATTGTCATGTAATTTGCTCTGCCAGGATTTGCGTAGTCAAACCTCAGATATCCCCAATGAAAAATGATAAGCCAAAAGGCTCATCCACTGAGAGCAAGGCTCGATATGAAAAGATAGTATAGGTCTAGTATGAAAGGTTCGGTTATTATGGAGATGATAGGAACAAACAACACATTAAGAATTTAAACTATAAACTGTATATGATTATGATATATGCCCAAAAGCCTGCTGAAAATAGCTAGATACTCAAAAGCGTGAAAAGAAACTAGAAATGCATTAGTCTGGATCCGAACCTACAGGATCAAAAGCCAGCTAGATTTAGGAACATCATTCCATAGATACCTAAAGCGTGACCAAAATAGTGTTAGATAAACAGTAGAAGTGCGCATCTACCTTAAACTAAGTATATTTGATCAGACCGATCAATCTTGAGTTTATTACGACAAAAAAGCAAACGTTTTCATATTTTCATCATCGCAGAACAATTGGAAAAAAACTCAATAATTTTCTATTGACACAGGATTTCATTTTACACATAGGTATTTCCTTTATGACAAGAGAAATTTCCTTTATTTTCAATTGACAAGAAAATTACATCTTATTAATATTGACTACGGGAGAATTATGATTTTATTATTACTGTTGCATGCTACCATTCAATAGCTTCTTGATGATCTTGATAGTAATTGTCAATAGATAGTGCAGTTAATATTTCTAAGTTGTTGTTTAGTTTCGTATATTTTCAAAACGTATTCAGGTCAGTTTTCGTATATTTTTGGGGCCTATTTTTGTACTGTAATTTCGAAGGATTCATACTTTTTGAAATGCATCTTACAATATTGCAACATAATCTTTTAGAAATCACATATTTTATATAATTTTATAAGAGACTGTCGTTAAACGTTTATAAGGAAACGTATAATCTAACACCCTTATGTTTCTTCCGTGTCCTCTCTGATTTGAACGAACTGCCTAGATTTTCAATTTCAGGTGTTGTCTTCATGCTTGTGTCATAACTGCCTAATTTCGGCCTATTTGACGATCTGACAAATTTTAAAACACGACCCCTTCTATTTTTTAACTTATGGTAATGTATAATTGCAAATATAAAATTAACGTGTTTTTGATATGCTACCCGTGGCCACGAATTATTGCAAATACAAAATTAACCTGTATTTCCTGACGTTGCCTCTTCTGAAATAATCCATTTTTAAATGACGTACGCGTCTATCTGTATACGCCGCTCATTCAGTTAATTTGATATTTGATGTTGCAGTTGTTGCTTCATATAATGTTGCTGATTATAACAAAAAGTTGATGGAATTTTGATGGATCTATTTAGACGACAATTTGGCTAATTAGATTACGTTCTATAACAAATGACTTGTCTCTTTATCGTATTTATTATCATCGTAACAGGTAGTCTCTTACAAAATTCACACACCCCTCGAAATGCTCACTCATTTTAAGTGCATTGCATTTGATTTGATACGAACGTGTGTCGAGGTGATGGTCAAACGTGTTTGCCCCCAAGGAATGATATTTCAAATTTGACAGGGTGCAATGTTTACAGTTTATCAGGTAAGATGTGCAAATGCATTTACAGCATTTCAGAGGGTATAACGCATAATGAAATTAATATAATCAACTGAAATTGTGCCTAAGATGAAATTCTAAACTTATTGCTGCTGTGTCGGATTTCGCTCTTTAATGAATGGTATTGACTGAACCCTGGAATAAAATATCAAAAAAATGATGACAAACTGTGAAAAACAGACAAACGGGATGAAATGCCAAGAAAATTAGTAGATTAGTATATGGAGTCTAAATTAAGATATGTGACACATTCGAAAGTGTAAAATGTATCACTCATTCAAGTGTAAACATATTCAAATGTAAAATGTATCACACATTTTTGTGGAACATGTATCAAACATTCAAGTGTGAGGCATTTTCACGTCTAAGATGTTACACATTCAAGTATAATTTGTGTCACACATCCATTGGTTAGATGAAATATGTGTCACACATTCATTGGTTAGATGAGTCGAGTCACACATCCAGGTGTAAGATGTGTCACATATTCAAGTTTAAATTTTTTCACGTATTCAAGTACACGACGTGTCATAAATCCAGGTGTAAGATGTGTCACATGTTCAAGTTTATTTTTTTCATGTATTCAAATACACGATGTGTCACACACTCAAGTGTAAGATGTGTCAAACATTCAAGTGTATCTAAAACAATAGGTGCTATTTTTTTCGTAATGTTGTCGATTACAAAATCGACAACAGATTAAAAAATATTTTTCATCTTGTTAAATGTCCTGGCAAGATAAATCAATACTTGAAAGGCTAGAATGTCATTTCGCTGTCGTTTCAAAATGCAAGTTCAACCGTTTTCGATTTTATATTAAATCGTTTAAAATATTTGTTTATTGTGCTGTTTGTCAAATATCGGGATCTTTGAAGTTCCACATTCCATTTTGTTAGTCGTACATTTCGTGATCTTAGCATCTCAAAGCGTGGAAATGCAGCACGTTTGTGGGGATTTAAACATGAAATTTAATTTTTGAAAAGTTTGTCGTTTGTGTTCAAATCGAAATTAAATAAAAGCAGAACAAATATCATAGACAAACGATAAATTATAGTAATCAGCTGAGGACACGGTTATCTAAATTTTGTCTTTCGACATCTTTACATATGTTGATGTAATATGCTTTTTGAGGGGCTACGTGTAATTTTCATCCAAAATAACCCTAAATTAATGGTATTTTTATTGTTGTAATTGTTTTTTGTTGTCTCGTGAGTATTGTCAAGAGCGTGTCACAAATATTTTTAGAATATAAAAATTTCACGATAATTAACGTTTTTGGCAAAAATGGAGGGGTGTCACAAGTACCAGGAATGAAAAGGTCATAAGTTTTAAATCCATCTTGATATATCTATCTATATTTCCTATGTACGTAGTTTCTGTGACGCATAGACTGATTCTGATCATTTCCACAATTTCCGGGCGGGATATTTCAACTTATTTTCTCATAAGGTTTCTCCAGTTCAAACTTTTCAGCCTAAAAACAGTATATCTTTAAAAGCGATACTTAACAAATTTATTTTTCTACTTCCAGCGACATGTTGATGGGTGAAGAAAATATGTCACATCATATACATGGTAGCCTCCACAGTCAACACAGACAAGACCACGAACACGATCTAGCGAGAAAATACAATTTATCTACTAAGATCTTAGAAGAAGCACAGACCAATATGTCTTTAAATTTGGTGAAAAATGAAGGACTGATGCATACGCATGCGCAGCATTATATGTGTGGGACCATGGACCATCACATGGGCATGTGACTATAAAATGTGCATATACCGCATAACAGGTATTAGAAACAAAAGGTGTAATATAGAGCAGGTATTTCCAATAATACGTGCATCCAGCGCAAGTATTAGAACTTAAAGTTACACTTCTAGCGGAAGTTGCGTATTTACTACTGAAGCGGATGTATGTGTGCATTGGCGTAAAAAATCAAATTGAAGTACCGCCCCAGTTAAAGGTGATCCAGAGCGCTCATTTGTCCAACTCTGCCGGACCATTAGAGTGAAGTTGAATAGGCTTAGGGCACAGAGAACACTCAGAACAGAGAGGTTCTTTAACTCATGATAAAAGTTCAAAAAATAAAGGCGTATACTATAGTGTTTTTTCAAATAATCGCCAAGTAAATCCAGCCAATCAGTTCGAGAGTATGCTTTTATAACATAGATGCTGGTCATGCAACAATCTTTCACGTCGTGCAATTATTTTGGATTGTTGAAAGGGCATTACGTGGACGGGGCATCTTGATTCTCAAGGTTTTAGTTGCTCCAACTGTTATAACCACTTGGAATTCGAAGATGGGGATGGGGACGCTTTAAATCACTCTATTTAGAGTCAAATATACAAGATATAAAAATATCAAATCGGAGGAAGTCACGCATCTCAGGGTTCAGTATTCAAATAAAACTGATCTCAATTTTATTTTAACAATGGTATGTTTGATCGATCCACAAACAAGCAGATAGATCTGTTCTATGCGTATCTGAAATATATCTAGATGATCTTATAATGAGTAAATAATGTTATGAAATTAGCAGGAAACATGTGCTGCAATAGTCTAGATCGGTGCTTTAGGGTTAAGGAAGAGAAAAATCACATTGTCAATCACACCACCTTCAACGTCATATCAATATATTTTGAGCCCGTAATCTGAACTATACAGAAGTTCAATCGTATCTAATTTCCATAACACCGTCACCTTTTCCGGCCATCTTCACCTTCAACACATGTGCGCCAACGGAACTTCAAATAGAGAAAATATGGAAATAACGTTCCTAAGGAATTATGCTCCACCTTATGTATTGCCCTTATTGCCCCTGTTTCTGTAAACTAATAAGCAATGAAGTAGTATTTGGGTCACTCTATTCAACAATGGAGGGGGGGGGGTGAGAGAGCGAAGTTACCTGCCCATTGGAAAACAATAATTCCAAATTAAACTCAAAATGGTCTCACACAGAGTACAATCTCGTCAACAGCTGGACTTGATGGACTTTTCTAAATTTTACATTTTAAAAATGACCTCATATTTAAGATGCCTCGATGTTCGTTACCTCTGGTATGAATACACCTAACGGAAGGACGGTGCTTTGGGTCTAACTCAACTTAGTCAATACATATGGCATAGGTACATATGGGTACCATATTGACCTTTGTTGAGGTTATAGTCCCTTACCTCAATCACCATTGGTTGTATCGATATGCAATGACAAAACAACCACTGAACTTTCTGGGGACCGTTATTTCTGTTGTTTGGAAATATTCAAGCTAATTTGCTCTAGGGATTATACAATCACCAAGCCATTTTCTTATAAATACATGATACAAAATTTATTGCTGTCTTACCGTTCAGAGTTGTGAAAAGTCCTAACTGATTCAACCGAAACCGAATACACCTGTAGGCCTTTAGAAAAGAACAATAAATTCGAAGCAACAATAATATCAAAAAGGTTAAATTTGAAATTGTCCTTACGAGACAGTCAGACTCATGACAATATTGAATTTCTAAGCATTATATCAATTCATATTTCGTGTAATAAGCATCCCAGCACAAAAACATTCAATTATCTCTGTTATTTTTATATTTCCAATTTACTATCGCTGCATTTTGCGTGACGAACCAAAATAAGGGTTCGCATTTTTCGAAAATTGAGGGTAATTTAGCGAATTTGTATACATGTATACTCACAGATGATGCATTTTGACTTTTGTTGGCGCCTTCATGTGAACTTTATGATTTAATTCATGAAGTTACCCTTTATTTTTAATAATAGACATCTTTGTGAACCGAATAAGATTATAAAGTCTTAACTTTGGTCAGATCTAGAGTCAAAATAATTATATGTCTCTACTATGATGAAACTAAATGACGACTCATTAGAATATGTACTTTGAAACAAGTTAGTCTATGATAATTCGTTTGCGAAGGCTCTTATTAGGCAACTCACCATTTATGATTTTAGGGAAAGTGGTGTCGCCTTGTTTTTTACATAGGCCGTGCACTGATTGTATTTGAGCAGCGTTACTACGCAAACTGTTATACGTTCGTGAATTTTGTACATCACGATATGTACATGAGCACGCGAACGATAAAATAAGATTTTTACTAATTTGTATTTGTGAATTGCACAAAGGTATTATATGTATCATTGTTTATGTACATATTGTATTATCTTTACAGTATTGTTTATGTACATGGAGATTGTCACAAAATGAATCTTGTCAAACTAATTAAAGATTATTTATTTATGTGTAAATAAAAGTATTACAAAATAAAAAAAATATTCAAAAACATATAAAGATATCTGTTTATCAGTTCAGGTTTGCAATACAACACGCTGGAGCTAAATTTCATATCTGATAATAAAAAATGAATAAATGCGATATAATAAACAAATGAAAACACATAATTATTAATTTAGATTAATGAACGCGTGTGTGACTTGTCAACTTTTCATAATGAAAGCATTGACAGTCACATACATATTGAGCTAATTGTAACAAAATCTCAAAAACTCATTCGAAGTATTAATTTTCATTCCCCTTTTATCTCCTCAGATACAATTAGCCTCGTATTTCTTGGAATGACACCAGGTATTGTCATTCTTTCTGGGTGTCTCGTATTTTATATTTTAATCTGTCCATATTAGAATTCAAGTTTTTTATAAGATATACATGTATTACATTTTTATCTCATGTTAATAGATGTGCCAGTACATTATGGTAGTGTTACACCGTTTCCGTGTCTGTAAAATATCCATTTTACAATAAATTGATTTTCCGATTTCATTTTGCCATGAAATCCTTATATTGAAAAATTCGCCATGAAGTTTCAATGAAAAATCTAAAATCAGATTCTGCAATTTAACAACAATTTTCATTTTACAGAAATATTTTTTAATGCGACAGTAAGCTCACATTTTATAGTGCCTCACTTTTTAGCAACCCTGATAAATTATTCCTTGGGTTACTGGGATATACAAGAATGCATGTCAACTATACCTTAACATGTTATTGAATAATGAGTAACGATTTTAATTTTGGAAAAGTCTACACATGTACAAGTATCTCATGAGATAAGTATTGTAACATCTCTTATCGGTGGTGTACATTTGATGAATGAACCATGTTTACCAAGGCATAATTAGTCTCAAGTCGACTCTTTGGAGGGACGGAAGATGAGCATTTATATTTCTTATTGATTAAAATAGATCAACACGTATGTTCATTTTCTTATTTCACAATTCTTAAATACACAACAAACTGGACATTGTAGACTTCAATTCTCATTTATTCTACAGGATTAGATATTATGCTGATGTCCATTGTCTAACCCCCCCCCCCCCCGGGTCTACCACTTGATCTTTTTAATCCATCTCTATGCCCCGGGATCTTTACAACAGTTTCATCTTTTCGTTTATTGCAAATGATGGGTCTTTTATACCATCGGACTCAACGGTCACATTATATGGTCTGCGCAATTTTTCTGACCAAGTACATGTGATTTGTCGCCGACAAGGCATAAGCTTATACAACATATCAGTATGAATTGGATAAGACAATGCGTTCTTCGTACTCCATATATACTTCACCGATTAGTTCTGATTACGTTTATCCAAGGTAATGATGATTATGATGAGCAGGTGTCATCTTATAGTGATCAAAGTCCCAATATAGAGGAGAATTAGATATTGACAACATTGTGCATTTAAAGCCATAGGTGGTACTGGAATTACACGTGCCACTGGTGCGATAATTCGCACCACATTTGGCGACGTGAAGCTCAGCTCCGCCCCTTCTCACATTAAACAAAGTGAACTACCCGTGAAAGAAGTACCCCCCCGTTCGGTTTTATGCAACAGGTGACTAGATGGAGGATGGTTTTGGGATGACATGCAATCTAATTGAAATTTATAGGCAATTACAAATCAAATGTATCATAAGGCATCAGTGTAAGACATGATAATATATCATAATAATATTGTCATTGGTCAACACGATTTAAATCTAAATATCCAAAACATATCTTGTAAATCCGTAGTGCCAGAGCTATTATTTTTACATACTTCAAATTAATCATGTTTGAAAACTAAACGTATTTTAGTGAGTCAATACTGCGACAGAAATCATGTATAAGTCATTGTGCATAATTAGATCACGTGATTCAGTTAAATCGGACTCTTCGATGAGGTTATAGCAGGGGGAAGAAGGAGGTACGGATTCTGGGCACCTACTTAGGAGGATGCAATAAATCAAATATGAGTTTCATAGAAAATAATAGTTACTTTTGATTTTGCAAAACGTTAATAATTGTGATACCCTAGTGATGTGTACAACAGAAACGCACTCATTATTCAAACGGATTGCCGTCTATTGAATCATCTTCATGAAAATCTATGACAAAAATGCATCATTTTAAGAATATAGATCAGTTTATATTGGATCTGATACTCTATAAATAATGGGCTCAACACCTCTATTGTTTCCCACAAGCCTTAGGAAAAAGGACTCCGAAGGATCAGAATGGATCTGATATGATACCTTTTAGTACAAAATCCTTTAATGTAGACTGCTTAGTTACAGATTATGCTCAAGTCCCGTGGGTTGCCTCGAGCTGATATTTGCAGACGACACTTCCGTCTCCATTTCTTGCTTCATTATGTGGATGTGCGCAAGTGTACGAGTGCTTGGTTCTAAACATGAGCGTTAATTGGTCAATATGGTCACATGGGGCAAACAAGGACTTGCGGTTACCAACCTTGTTTGGGCACACGAAGAATTAAAAATGTTATTTTATTCCAAGACTGATACAGAACTTGGAAATGGTTTTATCAGTCGGAAATGCTTATTGTAATTAAAGATAATTAAGAGTGATACTAAAAATATATTCCTATTGAAATATTCATTACTGCCCAAGCTGCTTTTGTGAGAACTTTCATTTGTCTATGTTTATGTACGCGTGTCTATATTGAAACACTAATAACAATGCACCAAAACACAAAATCCGCAAAGTCATCAGGTGGAATAACTCAATATTTTGGATATTTTATGAAACAAATAATTTATACATTTCATATTTTCCACATTGAATTGTACTATTTGTATTTTCTCTATATCATAACTTATCAAAGTTGATATATGTGTTGCATATTTTTCTATTTGAATCATCATGCAATTTATGATATAAAAGTTCTTGTGATATTCAAATAATATTGTAATTCAACCTCCAATAATTATCTTGAATAAATGCCCTTTTGCAAATCTAATGACAATCATGAAAAATAATATGAAAAGGGTATTTTAGATTACAATTTAATCTATGCAAGCCCGTAGCCTGGGGGGCTCGCAAGGTGCGGGCGAACCCCCTCTCCCCCTGGCCAAAAATTCTTTCAAAATTATGCAGATTTTCATCATTTTGAGCACTTCCCAAGTGATTTTAGCCATATTTGGGCAAAACTTGTTAAATGTGAACCACCCCCTGGAAATTTTTGAAACCTGACCCCCCTTGGCAAATCCTGGCTACGGGCCTGCTATGAATGCCAATCCCCTTTTTATATTCTGGTTTATCAGAGTATGTACGAATGGCACTATATCATAGTATGTATATTAAATATTATTTTCCCGTTGAATTGTACTTTCTTTATATTTTTAATTAATCATACATTCAGAATTTTCAGATGGAAACACACCTCTAAGACGGTAAATCACAATGGCTTTCGGATACGTCAGACCTCCCTTGGGACTCCCTTGATAAATATCTTGAAGTAACCATGGGAGTCATTCCTCCTTGCTTGGAATCAAACCAAATACAAAACCCGACTCTTGTCATTAAAATAACGGTTCAGATTACTCTCATATTACTAGAGGTGTCGCAGATCTAATTTAAACCTTATTAGAACGAGGATTTTAATAATTACTAATAACATGTTCGAGTTTATGAAGTAAGGTGTATTGTTTCAAGAATAGCAAATAAGCCGCTTGTAACCAGATATCAAGCAGTCCCCTGGCTCCAAACGGAGAGCGTACAGAGGACGTATCCTTAACAGGAGCTTGGAATAGTCACAACCCACCATATCGAGCATCTTTATTCAGAATATGCAATCAAACTAACAACAATCAATCTTTATTTCCAAAAACTAATTATTCGGATCAACATTGATAATTCTACATCAGATTGCCGAACGTTTCATTTATACACATATATCACTGTTCAACAGTTTGACGTTACATCATGTACACTGTCACGATAATTAGACTTTTATAATGAAAAGTGATATTGGCTTGAGGATGATACCAAATACTATCAATCCTAGGGTTTTCATCTTAGGGCAAATATATTATACATGTTTGTTCAATTTCAATAAACCTGGGTAAGTTGAACTATGGTTGACGTACTTTTTATAATGTATTACATCACTAGCTTGTTATTATGAAACTTATTATTATCTAATTACCACAACAGTGTACATGTAGGCTACCAGCTCGCATTTTTGTAACCCCCATACCACAAGCTATAACACGGGTAGTATCTAAAGCCCCGCTATGATTTAGAAGTCGCGAGCAAATACCCGCTGAAATCGCGAGCAATTAAAAGAAAAGAAGGGTTATCTTTTGTTTACTTAAATTGTATGTTGTAAAAAGCGTTTTCATTTAATTTTACTCAATTATTACATGGTATTGATAGTAAAAAGCAACTCCTGCAAAAAAGGATCACGAGCTGATGTTCTGAGTTTTGTTATTCGATAATTGGAGAGAGAATGTATCATCTTGAATCTTTATCTATATATTTCTATATTTTATAGCTGAAG